GTGATGGTGGTGGGAGGAGAGTGTCCCCCCCCTCCTGGAGACGAGCCCTGACCTTCTCATTTCATCCTCATTAGTATCTCATGTCAACAGAGCAGCCACTCCTTAATCATCTGCTATCATCCCAGGCCTACACACACACACACACACACACACACACACACACACACAAATAAAGACACAGAAAAATACAAATGGGCAAACAGGGCTACTGTTACAGACAGGGACCAGCACATCCTGAATACCCATTTATACTGAATATGAATGTATAAAGATCATTTTACAAGAAGAGTATGTATTGCATGTATGTATGTATGTAATGCATAATTTGTTACTTCAGTTTTCTGTGAAAAGTATTCAAACTTCTGGGAACTCTGATTACAGTAACACTGCATTCTCAGGGTAGAGTGTTAAATATTATTTTTGATCATGTAAAATGCCCTCTCAGCCACAATTAGGGAAGTAGCACCAAATGTCAAACTGTTTTTACTTTTTTCGCCTTATTCATCTGCTTCTATTTTCTTTTTTTCAACAAATCCAAATTGTATTTGTTGGATTCGGTGTATGGGATGTGTTGTTGGACAGCAGCGTAGCTGTGTGGTACAGGGTGGGCTCGTCTGTCTGTGTCGGCCTCGGTGCCACGGAGGCCCCAGCAGGGTCGAGGGGAGCTGGGGCTCAGGGTGCCAGCACAAATGAGCTCCATTCATTTCCCCACTTCGGCATATGGTGGCCCATTGTCCTCGGCCACAGAGGCAGAAGTGATGCAATTTGTTGGCATGTCCTGTCATTTTCACAAACTGTCCATCCCACTGAGGCCCCGACCAGCAGAAGACAAGCAAGGGCAGCTTGTTGTTTTACCAGATAACATGTGTAGTTGTGCGTATGTGTTTACTGTATTCAATCCAGAGCTGATGGCGAAACTCCAAAACAGAATAGAGACATATGTTGTCATCTGAGCAAATATTTTGATGAAGCACAAGGCAGAAACAACAGGATCAATCAGAGGAAATTACTCAGATTAAATCTCCCTGAAGATTATGATATGCAGTATGTATGTCAATCCCTGTATTGTTGTTTTCCAATACTGTTGTCTTACAATACTTTATCCTTATTTAGAGAATAAGATCTAATCTGATCTGGGCTTTAAGACATGAAGCTTCCTTATTTGCTTAATGGTAGATTTAAAAAAAAAAAAAAACAGCAGCATTAAAAGGAAATCAAAACCAACGTAAAAAGAATACACACTGAAACCTCAGATTCATGAGTGAGAGTGAACTGAGCAGCTCACCCTTGCCTGTTCCTGGTTTCACTATGCCAACCATGAAGTTGCTGTCTGCGAGGAGAGGGGAAGGAGTCTTGTTTAACTTCCTGAAAAAGCAAACTTTTGACATGAGGTGCACAATATTAGCAATGCAGCAGCAGAAAGAAAGAAGTGTCTAGACATAACTACATTTAGGTCAGACAGAGGAAAACATATGATCGCACAGTCATGCACAAAACGATGGGAGTACTTGGTGTTGACAGGCAATTGAATGACCAGGGTCAAATGTCACTGAACCCATTCCATGCTAACATTTGTGAGTGTGCATGTGTGTGCACCACATCCCTGCTTCATGCTGTGGTGTCACTCGCCCTTGGCTGCGATTTGGTCAGAGGTTTTCTTGGGTGCAACCGCACCCGACTCTCCCACGCATGCACACTCTCACATGTAATGGGAACGTGGGCTTTCCACTGAGCTCACGTGAAGAAATCAGCGGGAGCACCTTCAGACAGAAGTTGACTTCACTTTAGCCTCTTTGAAGATTGATGACATTGGTGCTTGTTTCACTGGATGTAAGGAACAAGTGGCCCCTCAGAGACTCATTACACCTCAGCAAGATTTGGAGAATAGAGTGACACTGCTCCCGATTACCAGATTCATCATTTGTATCGGACTGAGTTCCTGCTTCACAAATGCTGGATGGCGAACTAAACCAAAACTATTGACGAGGTTTTATGCCCTTTGCTGCAAAAGAGCTAAAGAAAGAAAAAATAGTGGCAAATGTGATGTGAGCTGCGTTTGTTTATTTTCCCTCACATGAGACATGCATAAACAGTCAGATAATCCATCTTTGTCCCCCCACGCAAACATTTAACCAGGCTCATCCTATACCCCAATCATACATCCCTGACCTCAATCCTGGCCACACTTCTCTCCATTTGCTCCCCCCTTCAACCCCGCCCTCGTTCTTCCAGCCACCATGCTTTGGTAGCACGGATCCTTCTCCGGCCCTATCCTTAACCCCATTTTCACCCTCCACCCCCACCTATCCTCCAAACCTGTCAGGGACTGGCTTCACATGTCCATCAGCGAGTGATGGATGAGGTGGAAGGTCGTCACCCCACTCTCCAGAGTTCACTGATCCTATCAGCCATGCAGACACCTCCAAATCAGAGCGGGAGAGATGTTACTGAAATCATGCAATTAGGGTAACAAACTTGGCTTTGCAGAATTTGCTTTTAGACGGATGTGCAATTGGCCATGAGTCATAAGTCGTATATTCAGTGTCATTTTTGATGCTTTGTACAAAGAAAACTGCAATAAGGAAAATTAAAAGGATCAGTTCAACCGTGTTTTATGTGTTTACTTTTAAAGCGCGCTCAATCTGTTGCATTGCATCTTGCTTCCACGGGGGAAGATTGAGTGGAAGAAGAGAGTATATATAGTGTTATTTCAACAGGCTACACAAGAAAAAGATTGCTTGTTGTGTTAGGCAAAGTGCAAAGATTTATTGGATTTTCTTACAATAACAAGACTGCTTCTCATTAAATAGATATCCAACATTCCCTTGAAAAATAGGAATTATTTGCCCAAAGTGATTTCCCATAAAATGCAACGAAATTTGATTGCACCCTGGTATAAACTAGAGAAGAGTATCACCCCTGACTGACCTTAAATTGCCTCTTGATGCCTATGGCGCTGTAGGAAAAACAGTAGCCCTATTGGTTCATTTCACATATGTCGTGGTAAACAAAGCTACAGGATATGATTGGTGATTCAATTGCTGAGGAAATCAAAGAAGGCAACCTCAGAACCTGGATAAGTCTGCCCCCAGTTTTCCAGCAGCAGAGAACAAGGCGGCCAAAGGATGCAGGATATTCTCTCACTGATATCATTCTGTCGAAGGGAGATTGATAAACTATAAACACACGGGAAGAATAGACAATGCACAATGGTGTCAAGCGTCTTTGCTGACAGGAGCGTAGATCAATGTTATTTC